CTTAAAATTCCATAGTAATTTGCTGGCCTGCAGCCTATTGTTTGAAATGTTTTTCTTGATTTATCGAAATTAGTGTAAATACATTAGAAATATGAAAACGAGGTAAATGCCAAAAGTCAATTGTATAAGGGATATTATTAGATGCCAAGGGCCCATTAGATTCATACAATTTAATAGGTGGAAGTAAAGTAACAAGATTCTTATTTTTATTCATCTTGTTATCCTTATACTAATAGTTTGATATTAAGAAAATATGGAACCTAGCAAGATGTGATTTCATTAAAACTTTTATGAAGTGACAGCAGATGACTTTTTTACTGATTAAAGTAAGGCAGGTGCATAAATGTGTGCTATCTGTAAGTATTATGATATGATGGTTAAAGTGGTTCAGAAATAATCTCTAGATGCTATAGTCCAAATTTGAACAATATCCTTACGTTGTAACTGTTGTAATAGTACTTTAAGACCAGTTTGACGTCATTCGTAATCATCCTCTAGATATTTATTTTCAACAATGTTTTCTGGTTCTGAAGGAAACTTATCCTATTCATAAAACATTTCAGTGATATTATAAAAAAAACTTTCAGAAAGCTGCTGCCATTAAGTAGAAAGAATATAAGGAGTTAAATAATCTTGAATTAATGAATCAATAACAGGAAAGTATCGGCTTGCAATATGAGGCAAGCCGACAGAAGGATTCATATTTTTTTGTTCATTTATTCTTGCATATCATGCTTCCTTATCTAGACAATTTTGTATGGCATCAATTAGATATAATAATGTTGAACAATGTGAAACCTCCTTCTTGATAATTGCATTCATACTTTCTACTCGTTGAGTACTTTGGATGCTAGCAGTAAAATGTGTTTGTATATAACAAAAAGCCCAGCTATATTGTAACAGATAAAGTGTTTCAAGTATATATCGGGATGCCTTAGGGAATGATGCAAAAAATTCAACAAACTACGTCCAATGATACTCAAAATCAATTTCAAACAAACTATTATGACAATGATAAAAAAGTTTATAACACTCATCAAAGTTTTTGTACATAATAGATTTCATTTTCTTAACAAAATTATTGTTTAAATGAAAAATACAATAAGTGTGATATGTGTTAGACCATATGCTTCGCAAGGCTGCACCCATAGCCAGGTCAGTATCTGTATAAACAATTTTGGAAACAATTTGATCTGTTGCTTGATTTAACTGTTCTAAAACCCTAAATGTTTATTATTATTAAAATAAGAATAAAAAAATATTAGAACGACTAGCAGTGATATACAGTATATTAAAAAAAGAGAGAGAAAGAAAAAAAGAAAACATATATCATTCAAAAGACACTTAAGTTTCATCTTCTAATAATATCTGCACTACAATACGTGAACAAGTATTATTATCTACGACTAGAAAAAGACACAACGGCATTTCATAATGATTTGTTTTACAGATATTATCTGATATCACAATGTTATGAAATTTGGTCCATAATGAAACTTGTAAAGGAGACATCCAGAACAGAGCTATTGATCTATTCTCTTCATCTATATTAGGTACAACTACCCATCTAGAGTTCTCCACTTTTAAAGCTATTAATTGTTGCAAAGTTTCTGCGGTATCTGTTTTTGTTTTTTCACGTGATGGAATTCTGAACTTTTGAATAGCATTGGATAAATCTTTTTTATCAATATAGCTGTCTAGATATTTCGCTTTTAGAAGATTATACTGCATCTTGGCACCCATACCTTCTGCTGATTTTGTGTAAAATTTGATATTCTTTAGCATTTCATTTGAGAGTTTACGAAAACATGATGCAGTTTGGACAACTATAGGGTTCATTTTGTGTTTATGATCATCACAAAGTAAAGTACAAACTATCTGAACAGATCTCTTACAATTATTAAAATTTACATGCTATTGACAATTAATGGCAGCAGAAGGGTGTTCACGCTATTTGGTAATATCAATTACTTTTTTTGTTTTGTGTGTACGTGAATATAAATATTCATAACTACGACGACAAATTCCTGAATTGTTAAAATGAAGATCAGTCCTACTACGCCGGAAAGAAAAACCTTTGAACTTTGTATACAATTCTATAAATTTATCTACTTCTTCCAATATATTAAATATAAGGCCAACATGTAATAGCAATAGATTTTTTTGTGATTCTTCATCACTGAAAGAGTTTTGTGAATTGCTTAAAACAATTTATACGAACATATAAGTAAGTTACGAGTTCAAACCTAGTTTTAAAGATAAATTAGTATTCAACAAATAATAAACTCTTACCTAACTTCATTTTCTGAACTAAAATTCTGATCACAATCTTCAAATAGCATTTCATTTTCTGAACTGAAAGTTGCTTTATCAAGTAAGCTGACTGTATAATTTTCAAAACTAGAGTTTAAAATATAGTAGAACATTTATTTTTTATAAGTTTTATTTTTTTAAATAGGCAGGTATAAGAGGTAAATTCTTAATTATCAGGTGCCCAAAAGGTACCAGATAATTAAAGTGTATTATTCTTTACTTAATATGATTCTATAACAGGGTTTTTCAACCTAAATGACCTTTTAATTACATTAGTTTAAAAAGAATCTAAAATTTTGACCATAATAATATGATATTATCGCTAGCTAAGAGAATTATAACTTTACCATATTTTATCATATGACAAAGGAATTTTAAGATCTTCATTTAAATAATACTTCAAAATAAAACTATTGTACAATCTAAAAATTTCTTTTGAATTTAGTATATATAAAAATTTAAAATGAGGGGTGTGGTGACATAGTGAAGTTGGCAAGTTGTTACCTCCCCAAATAGCAGGTCTAGGGTTCAA